AATTACATTTATATTATATTTTAATAGTTGAACCAACTAGATATTGACATGTGTATCAAACCAAATTAATTGTCGTGGTCATAACCACATCCATTATTAGTCTCTTTTTTTTTTTTTATAAAAAGCATAGTTGTATTAATAATTAAAACAATTACAATGCAAAATATACTTACTGATATAATATTGAAACGTGATTGTGTAGTTTAAATTGTGCCTACAAAACTAACCCTTTATATGCTGATTATGATTTTATAGTCTAACACAATTTCAATTGTAAAGCTAAGAACATCAACCGGCTACCAGCATGACAAGTGGCAATTTCATTGGAAAAGTATCATTTTCCAAAAATTATAGATTACTTCAAAATCCAATCCACAACTTTGTCCCAAGTGGAGCATCAACAATTAAGTCATCAAAGGTTTCTTGATTTTGATTTTCATTTCCTATGTAAAAATGAGAATGCACGATCTTTCAGTTACCAAAACCGCACTCACAACTGGTTTCGGCAACGTTGGAGTTGGGTACGCACGAAATAGAGTTGGGCATGTCAATTGGGTCACGGCCTTTGCATTTCTGCCTCTTGTCCGGGTTTTGTTTTTGGATATGATTCATTTCAAATGGATAAGTGGAATTTAATTTTGTAATGGTTACTTGTTCCTTTCTATCCAATTCATTAGAAAAGGAAAAAGGAAATGATGGATATATGACTTTAGGTATCATATTCTGTGTTCTTGAGTAAAATCTTGTCCCATTATATCTCTTTTCCTTTTGCTTTATTTAGCAGACTCATGTTGATGTTCCCTACTTCAAGTCTATTTCTTTCTCTTTCCCTTTTGGGAAGCAGCCTGATAGGCCACCTGCCGCTACCGACTCTCTCTTCATCAAACCACCTCAAGCTTCAAGGTGACGATCATTCTTTTAAATTTAGAATCAACTAATGCCTAAGTGACCTAATAGGATTGAAAATTTTCACTTCAAATCTTTTTAATGGTAAAATGAGTATCAAACCATAACAATTAAAAAAAGATGAAGAGAGACACAAAAAAGAGAAAGCAAAAGTGGACTGATCTTTGAATGGATGGGAATGAGATGAGACTCTAAGCTTCTTTTTTTTTTTTTTTTTTAAAGTTTTCTCTCACTTTAAATATTGAGAATCCATTAATTCGCATTCACTAGGAAGCAGACACTAGCTTGGAAAACAAAAAAATGAACAAAGGAAAGAGATGTTGCATGGAAAGCAAGAAAGAACAAAGGACAAAGGAAAGAGATGTTGCTTGGAAAGCAAGAAAGAACAAAGGAAAGAGATGAGAATGCAACAGAAAGTCCATTCTAGAGACATATTAAGATAAATGTGCAATTAACGCCATTTTGGCTTGTTTCTTCAATCCTATCCTTTCATGTCCTAGCCCCCAAACAAAATCAGCTTCCTTCAGTTACCAAATTAGTTTCTTTCACATTGAAAATTTTGTTGTTTTGTACATACACTCTAATTAAAAGTTGTATGCTATTTGTCTTCATCATAAATGATTATGCTTCAAATTAAAAGAAAGAAAAGGAAAGAGTCACACATTAAGGAACTAGTACAAGGCACATTGTTCCATCAGAACAAATAACACACAATACATGAGTTGAACACACTGACAAACAACCATCAAAGCCCATGTAGTTAGAGATGGTACCTTATTTAGGAAACTCTATGTGGAGACAAGAAACTATGAGCTTGGTTGAACAAGATCCAATACTTATATGTCAGATGACATCTTAACTACTAAAAATTCCAGTTAAGTTTCTCTGAATGATATTTCATAATCAAAGTAACACTAGACTAAATTCTAACCTATGTATTTTATAGATAGAAGGAGAGAGACAAAAAAGGGAAAGCAAAAGTGTATTGGGCTCTAAATGGGTGGAAATAAAATGAGACTCTAAGCTTGTTTTATGTCTTTTTTTCTCTTGAAACATTGAGAACCCATTGCTTCACCTTCACTAAGAGGAGGACGCTAGCTTGGAAAGCAAGAAAGAACAAAGGAAAGATAGAGTACAATAGAAGGTTGATTCTAGAGACAAATTAAGATAAATGTGCAATTAAAGCCATTTTGACTTCTTTCTTTCGTCCTATCCTTAAAAAGTCCCAACCCACTTAGCAAAATTAGTTTTCTTCAATTACCAAATTAGTTTCTTTTACATTGAAAATTTTGTTGTTTTGTACGTATACTCCAATTAAAAAGCAACATGCTATTTGTCTTCAACATAATTGATTAAGCTTTGGATTAAATGAAAGAAATGGAAAGTGTCGCACATTAAGCAAATGGTACAAGGCACATTGTTCCATCGAAACAAATAACACACAATACATGAGTTGGACACACTCACTAACAACTATCAATGCCTATAGAGCCAGAATGGTATCTTATTCAAGAAACTCTACAATGGAGACGAGAAACCAAGAGCTTGGTCAAACAAGATACAATACTTATGTATCAGATGACATTTTAATTACTAAAAACTCTAGTTACATTTCTCTCAATGATATAAAATGTTTCTAAATCAAAGTAACACTAGTGTGAATCCTAACCTTTGTATTTTTTAGAAAAGATGGAGAGAGACACAAAAAGGGAAAGCAAAAGTGTATTGGTCTCAAAATGGGTGGGAATGAAATGAGGTTGTAAGCTTTTTTTATGTCTTCTTTCTCTTGAAACATTGAGAATCCAATGATTCAAATTCACTAGAAGGGACACTAGCTTGGAAAGCAAGAAAGAACAAAAGAAAGATAGAGTGCAACAAAAGGTTTGTTCTAGAGACAAATTAAGATAAATGGGCAATTAAAGCCATTTTGGCTTCTTTCTTCCATCCTATCCTTCGATGTTCCAACCT